ATATTGAGTAATTGAAATTATTCCAGCATCAGCATTAAAATGTCCAACTAGTAATCATTTCTAGAACAAAACTCCTATACATTGTTCTGTTGTGGCTTAGGCTCAAGTTCAGCAATGTATTATTCATAGAATCTTTGTTTAATGTCAGTTGCTTTTCAACAGCAGAGGAACAAAGACAGGAAGGACTTGTGGAGGATGAGGTGGTTTGGCCATTGTAATGGTACATATTTCGCTCCAGAATTTAATAAGAACAATCTGATTGCCTTTCTGTTGAATAAGTCATAGGCTAGGCTGGAATTGCATTGCATTGCAGGCCTTATTACTGCATTGGCAGAGTTAACGTCCTTTGGATGAGACATTAAACTGAGATCCCAACTGGACCTGTTCAGGTGGGCGTTAAATGCCACTATTTGAAAAGACTATTTGAAACGTTTCTCCCAGAGTCCTGACCGACAATCCCCTGGATAAAACTGATCATTCATTTCAAGGTTTGTGGGACACTGCTGTGTGCAAACTGGCTGCCGCGTTTGTCTACAGATACACTTAAGTAAAATCCTTTGAGTTGTATCTGAAGCCTGACAGACATTTTTCCTTGACACTTATCAGCCAACCAGCCCGATGCCACAGTGCAAGGACAACTATCGCATTTGTTGAAGGCGCTCATTGCTGTACACGAGGATACATTTCGAGGTTCTGTGTTATTTTCTTGGAATCAAATAAAAGCTGCGATGAAATAAAAATTGTTGGTGATTAGCGAAATGTAGGGGATCCCACTGCCATAGAATTGTGTTAAGATTGTTTCACAGTCGCTGACTACTATTTTTCTCTCCATCTCTAGAAGTAGGAGCGTTTGAAGTTGAAGACAACCCCTGGCGTGCCTGACTGGGGTTTGATTTTATGCACAAATGGAGTGACTTCTGCCTGCTGCTAAAGGCATCGATGTGATTTTCCTAAGTCTGCCCACTGTTACGCGTCTCCAACCAAACTCTCAGATTGTGACTCGTCTACAATCGAATCTTTGTTGTCGCGGGTTGCCAATGATTCCACCCAGTGCTGTAAACAGCCGGAATCTACAGCATCAGCAGCTTGGAGAGTGGGATGAGAAACAATTCCTCCAAAGGGCTGAGATAAGAAAAAAAAAGTGGAAACTCGTCAGCAAAGTTCCTAAAACTTGTTTTCAAACATTATCTTGTTGAATTTCTTATGCATAAAGCTGGGTTGTTGTGGAAAGGTCTTTATTTCCATTGAAAAGTCTGCTGCTACTTGAGTTTACTGCAGAGTGAACTATTATGGTTTAAAAGAGATGTAGTGTGTCAGCCTGGCTCAGTTGGTAGCAACCTCAACTCTGAGTCAGAATATTGTTCGTTTAAACTTCAAGTCAGGACTTGGAACCCATATAGTCTTTGCTGACACTCCAATGCAGTGCTGGAGGTGTGCTGCATTGTCGGAGATGCTGTGTTTCAGATGAGAAGTTAAATCAACTGCTATATCAAATGCAAGGATTAGTATTAAAAGAATGCTTATTATAAGAATACGTATAAGTATTATAAGAATAATTATAAGAATACTATCCACAGAGAATGTTGATGCAATTTCTTCCAATGTATCATAAAATTAGTAACCAAATCATTAATAAATCCAAAAACTATATGAGTTTAATATAGTCCTGCGTCATTCCATTAGAATGTTAGAATATATTATTTTCTGGACAGTTGTGATAAACTTTACACATCATGATCTGTCTGAGCCACAGACCAAATTACACAAAATCCTAAACTTGTTATCATATTTTTGCACTTTTGGCAAAGTATTAAAACTTGAGTGGCATTAGAAGAATTTTCATAATAAAATGATATTATCAGAATACTGGAAAAACATTTTGGAAATCAATCACTCGTGGGAGAGAAATGCTCTCTTTCAACATCAACAACTTGCATTTATATAACTCCTTTCACAGTGGGTCGTGTCTGAGACGTTTAAAAGCGACTGGCATCAGGGATTCTACCCACTTGGCTCCTGTTGACCCTGTAAGCTAAAACTCTAACTGGTAGGATTCTTGGCAGACACTGCTCCTGATTGCAAGTTGTGCGGTTCTCGCTGGTTAAACGTCATCGGTACCCTACTACACACCTGCCTGGGGTCCCCAAAATAACAACCTTCGCATTTGATAAAGCGCTTTATCACACCTTGGAGGCGCTTCACAAAATAGACTGTAAAGTGAATTGACTGTATATTTGTGGGCGAAACGCGGCAGCCAATTGTGCACAGCAGCGTCCCACAAACAGTCGTGGGTTGAGTGAACGCATAATTTTTTTTGATGGGAACATTACGGAAACGCGATCCGACAACCGACTTAACAACTGGTTTCCTACACTTACTGCTTGGTAAACAGAGGTGTGTGGAATATGGAAACTTGCCTTAGGTTTTGCGCTGCCCGGGAATCAAACCCAGGTCCTCTCTCTTGCGAGCGCTCGAACGACTGAACTGCAAGCCTTGGCTCTGCCAACCTCCACCTAATATCCGACGGAATTAGGTAAGCGAGGTCTATATCCCTCCAGGGAGACAGTGCGCATTCCGTTCCAGACACATAGACATTTCCACACATAGGTAGCGTATATACGTGAAACTCAAAGTCTGGTTTGGATACTCCGAAACATGATGAAAAGTTTCTGCATGTGTCAGATACCCAGCTGACCAACAAATATGTTTTCCTGGCACTCACAATCTCTTCAATTCAGGCACTGAGTGCTCCTGACATTGTCTGGAAAGGTTACAGCAGAAATAACATTTTACAGAAATTTCCGTTACTGTGTAGTGGAGCATTTCAGAGGCTGATTTTTTTTTTAAAATCCATGATCTGCTTAAAAAAAATACAGAATGTATAATTTTCCAATGTGTGGTTTAGTCGATCATAATAACCATTTAATAACTAGAATTCGCGTTGGTAGATAACGAAATTACAAGAGGGAAATAATAATAATAATAATCCTTGCATTTGATACAGTGCCTTATCACGTCTTCGAGAATGTACTGTAAAGTAGATTGAGTGTATATTTTACAGGGCGAAACTGGAATAAAATAAACTCGAATCGGCAGCATGACAGCCCTGGAATTTGACCACCACCAACAACAGCAAATAGCATTTGTATAGCGCCTTTCATGTCGGGAGGACGTCCCGAGGCGCTGGACAGTCAGTCGGGGATCTGGACCGGGGAGTTATTTCTCACCCTTTCTCCCACGCGAATAAATCGTTACGACGATCGACTTAACTGACACGTAGGAAAATTACTGCATATGTGTACAGATATATATATATTTTTTTTAAAAAAAAAGCAGAACATCTGTGAAAGGGCAGGGAGAAGGCGGGGGATGCTGAGAGCCAGTCAAACACAGTAAGCCAATGGGTTCTGGCTCAGTGTTGTGTCTGACGGTCTCAGCCCTTTTCCAGCGAAGCCGCAGTGGCTGTTATGAAATGTGAGCCGCGTGTAAATCACATCACTCGTCAAACCGAAGGGACCATCGCCGGAGCTCAGAGGCGTCCGGATCCACGCGACTTTTTCTCCTGCAAAAAAAAAAAAAAAAATCGTCAATTTTTTTTCTCGTGCGGTTCACCGCTATCGTACCAACTTTTTTTTTAAACCCCCCCCTCCTCCCGCCCCCGGAAAAAGGGGGAAATAGTAGCATTATTTCAAAAGAAATTACCGATTTTGTTTTTCGGGTGAAAATAACTCACTTTTTTTTAAGAGAAACAAGAACGCGGAGAAAGACAGAACTTTAGATTTCGTAAAGTTATTGGAAATCCCTGTTTTTTTTAAAAAAAAGTATACAATTTTGCAAGTGGTTTTTTTTTTGCGGGGAGAGGAGGAGGGAAGAAGGAAGGAAGGAAGGAAGGAAGGAAAAGGTGGTGGGGAGAGAGAGAGAGAGAGAAAAAAACTGAAATTGTGCAAAAAAAGTTTTATTTTCTTTAAAAAAAGGTAAGTTTTGAACCCCCCTCCCCCCCTCCATCCCCAAAAAAAACCCTTTAAATTGTGCAAAAAATCTTTTTCCTTTAAAAAAAAACCACCCAATTGGAGGGGAAAAAAATCAATAAATAAAGAGAAAAAAAAGAATCAATTGGAGAGAGAGGAAAAAAAAACTCCATTCGCAGAATTGGGCCAAATCTTCTTTTTGTTTAAATTTGATTGAATTGAATTAAAACCTAAAATAAGAGGAGAGGAGGGTGAGGGGTGAGGGGTGAGGGGGAGGGGGTGAGGGTGAAGGGGTGAGGGTGAGGAGTGAGGGGGGGGGGGGGTGAGGGGGGGGGGGGGGTGAGGGGGAGGGTGAGGGGTGAGGGGGGGGACTGGATTGGTAAATTGAGCCAAATCTTTTTTTAGAAAAAACAACAAATAATTGAATTAATTTTGCCAAAGGGCAGCGGGGGGTGTGGGGGTGTGTGTGTGGGGGTGTGTGTGTGGGGGTGTGTGTGAGGGGGTGTGGGGGTGTGTGTGGGGGTGTGTGAGGGGGTGTAGAGGGGGGGAGGTGCTGAGTGTTGGTTGAGTTGGAGTTGAGTCGTGGTTGAGTGTTAGTGTCAGTGTCAGTGTCAGGGTAGTGTCAGGGGTAGTGTCAGGGTCAGTGTCAGGGGTAGTGTCAGTGTCAGGGTCAGTGTCAGTGTTAGGGGTAGGGTCAGTGTTAGGGGTAGTGTCAGTGTCAGGGTCAGTGGGTCAGTGTTAGGGGTAGTGTCAGGGTCAGTGTCAGGGGTAGTGTCAGTGTCAGGGTCAGTGTCAGTGTCAGGGGTATTGTCAGGGGTAGTGTCAGGGTCAGTGTCAGGGGTAGTGTCAGTGTCAGGGGTAGTGTCAGTGTCAGGGGTATTGTCAGGGGTAGTGTCAGGGTCAGTGTCAGTGTTAGGGGTAGTGTCAGGGTCAGTGGGTCAGTGTCAGGGTCAGTGTCAGTGTCAGGGGTAGTGTCAGGGTCAGTGTCAGTGTCAGGGTCAGTGTTAGTGTCAGTGTCAGGGGTATTGTCAGGGGTAGTGTCAGGGTCAGTGTCAGTGTCAGTGTCAGGGTCAGTGTCAGGGCAGCGATGCTCCCGGTGGCGGTGCGGGTGGCGGTGGCAGTGGCTGTGGCTGTGTCCGTGGCTGTGTCCGGGGCTCTGGCGGTCCCGGTCCCGGGGCTGTTGTCGGGGGACGATCGGCTGTTCAGGCGGTCCCCGAGTTGTCCGCTGCCGTGCGAGGCCTCGCGCTGCCCGGCGGCGCCCCGGGGCTGCCCGGCGGGGCCGGTGCTGGACGCCTGCGGCTGCTGCCGGGTGTGCGGGGCGGCCGAGGGGGAGCCGTGCGGCGGGGGCCGGGCCTGGGCCGCCGTGTGCGGGGAGGACCTGCGCTGCCACTCGGCCCGGGACAGCGACCCCGACCCCGAGCCCAGCCCGGGCCCCGGTGGCCCCGGTACCGGCCCCGGCACCGGCCCCGCCCGGCGGCGGCTGAAGGGCGTGTGCGTGTGTCAGAGCAGTGACCCGGTGTGCGGCAGTGACGGCAGCTCCTACCGCAACGTGTGCGAACTGCGGGCGGTGAACCGCAGGGCTCAGACTCTCAACCAACCGCCCGTCCTCTTCATCCAGAGGGGCGCCTGCGGCCTGGGTAAGCTTCATCATCATCACCATCATCATCATCACCCTCACCATCACCTTCACCATCATCATCATCATCCTCATCTTCATCATCATCATCATCCTCACCATCCTCACCATCATCATCCTCATCTTCACCCTCACCATCATCATCATCATCATCATCATCATCCTCACCGTCATCATCATCCTCATCATCCTCACCCTCACCCTCATCATCATCATCATCATCCTTACCCTCACCATCATCATCATCATCACCCTCATCATCATCCTCACCCTCATCATCATCATCATCCTCACCCTCATCATCCTCATCATCCTCACCCTCACCCTCATCATCATCATCATCATCCTTACCCTCACCATCATCATCATCATCATCACCCTCATCATCATCCTCACCCTCATCATCATCATCATCCTCACCCTCACCATCACCATCATCATCATCATCATCCTCATCTTCACCCTCATCATCATCCTCACCCTCACCATCCTCACCCTCATCATCATCACCCTCCTCACCATCCTCATCCTCACCCTCATCATCATCACCATCCTCATCCTCACCCTCACCATCATCACCATCCTCATCCTCACCCTCATCATCATCACCATCCTCATCCTCACCCTCATCATCACTATCATCACCATCCTCATCCTCACCCTCATCATCATCATCATCATCATCCTCACCCTCATCATCATCATCATCACCATCATCCTCCTCATCCTCACCATCATCACCATCCTCATCCTCACCCTCCTCATCCTCACCCTCATCATCATCACCCTCCTTATCCTCACCATCATCATCATCACCCTCATCATCATCATCCTTACCATCATCCTCACCATCATCACCATCATCATCCTCACCATCATCATCCTCACCCTCATCATCCTCACCCTCATCATCCTCACCATCATCATCACCATCATCGTCCTCATCATCCTCACCCTCATCATCATCATCCGCACCCTCACCATCATCCTCAGACTGTCCTGTTGTTGTTGTTGTTCTGCCTTATTCTTCTTGACACACACACAAAATAATCATCATCCTTTCTTTCAGACATACTTTGGTCTTACACCCTGTTGTTGTTGTGGTGGTTGTTGTTGTTGTGGTGGTGGTGGTTGTGGTTGTTATGGTTGTTGTGGTGGTTGTTGTTGTTGTGGTGGTGGTGGTTGTTGTGGTGGTTGTTGTTGTTGTGGTGGTTGTTGTTGTTGTGGTGGTGGTGGTTGTTGTGGTGGTTGTTGTTGTTGTGGTGGTTGTTGTTGTTGTGGTGGTGGTGGTTGTTTTTGTTGTGGTTGTTGTGGTCGTGGCTGTTGTTGTGGTTGTTGTGGTGGTGGTGGTGGTGGTTGTTGTTGTTGTTGTGGTTGTTGTTGTTCTGGTTGTTGTTGTTGTGGTTGTTGTTGTGGTGGTTGTTGTTCTTGTTATTGATGGTGATGGATAACCGTGATGCTGCTGCTGCTGATGATGATGATGATGATGGTGATGGTGATCTTGGCATTTGATGTGGTTGAGACGTCTCAAAGCGCTTCTCAGGACAACAACAAAGATTCCATTTATTGAGCGCCTTTCACGTCGGGAGGATGTCCCAAGGCGCTGGACAGTTGGGTCAGGACCCGAGCATTGGGGGGAAATGGTCAGGGTGAGGGGAGGGGAGGGAGGGAGCGAGGAGGGGGTAGAGAGTCGAGAGGGGAGGTGAAGGCTGAAGGTCAAAGAGAAAGGTCTTGAGACACTGTCAAGCGGATCGCTTGACTGGCTGTGTGGTTTGTGGGGGGGAAGCCTGACAGCCGGATAGTGGCGCTCAGCGACGTCCCACGCACGGCCGTGGGGCAAATGGACCAATTTTATTTGTGGGATTTGTTGGCCAGGAAACCGGGAGAAAGAAACTCCCTTCTCTTTTCGAGCAGTGTCACGGGATGTTTAACATCCACCTGAACACGCAGACGGGGACCTCAGTTTAACCTCTCACCCGAAGGACAAATCGCATGATGTGCAAATAGATCAGCGGATACCGACATAACACACAACAACATTTGTACTTATTTATCACCAGTTCTTTCCAAATATGACAAAGGGATGTGTATTGTTTACAGCTGTGCCATGTGCAAATCTGAGTGCATCGAAGCCGGGGCGTGCGAGTGTCTCGTAACGTTGAATAGGTTGTGTGTGCGAGAGGGCGCGAAGTTTCCGTGTAGAGGAGGATATTTCTGGGAAAATAAGTGGTGACCGATTAATGGCACAAAGCTAAGGTGTCACCCAGTTTGTTAGGCATTTCCGAATGTTAGATCGTGTTTCGATGCAGCGCTTGTTTTTTTTTTTTGGTTTGCAGTGAATGTGTAGTTCAATGTGAATCCAAGCACACTGGCCTTTTCTTTACGCCGGTCCCGCTGATCAATAATAATAATAATAATAATAATTATAATCGTTGCATTTGATATAGCGCCTTATCACGTCATCGAGATGTCTCAAAGCAATTCGCAGAATATACTGTAAAGTGAATTGACTGTGTACTTTGTGGGTGAAACGCGGCAGCCAATTGAGCACAGCAGCGTCCCACAAACAGTCGTGGATTGAGTGACTAAATTTTTTGAAGGCATTAATACCCCCCGGAAAGTGATCTGCAAATTGACTAACAACCGGGTTCCTGCTCACTGTTGGGTAAACAGTAATACGATCATTTTAAAATGACTGTTATCAGAGAAGAGGTTATTAAAAAGCTTACTTCACAAAAACAGCTTGGTATTCACTGGGTGGAGTTATTATCACTTGGTAAGCTGTTTTAGGAGGGACGTCACCCATTTTCCTTGTTATGTTGGTTTTGTCAGATCTGACCCTGTCGTATAAAATCCAAGCTCGTTTCATTGCCGGAGCTCCGTTCAAACATTTTTGAGATAATTTTGCAAGTGATGCCCAATTTAAATGGTCACAACTATCGTTGTCGCTGCTGTTGTCACATCTGGATAAGAGTAGGATGTGAAACTTCTCCCCCTTTTTTGAATTCAGTGTTTTCACATCATCTTGAAAATAACATTGGCACGGAACGTCTGGACTGGAGTCACAAGATGCTGACTAATAGAGTATGTGCAGCACTTTGAGTACTCCGCGTGGAGAGGCCTCCCAGGTTATAGCGGTGTTGTGAGTGCTTCGCCCCCTGTGAATGGGCGAGATGGATTGTACAATCTTTCTAAAGTCATGATGAGTTCAGCAGTTTGGGGAGGGGTTGATGATTTAGAGCAGACTCAAGTTCTCACTGTAATACCGATGCCATGCTTTATCCTTCCCTTGTTTATATCGGGAAGGTGCACCAGTTATTGCCAGGGGCTATTGCGTGGGCACGGCAATGGGAGTGATCCGTGGTGCTTTCTAGACTGGGCTTTTTTGTGTGGCCACAGTACGTAAAGGGGGACATTTTTTGAAAAAGTTTCCACTGAGGTTCATTACATGGCAGAATTGCACAAGAAAGCTTCAAATGATAAAGGTCTTTTAGGGCCAACAAGATTTCTCCTTACTCAGGATGCATGGAAACATCCCCTATTGTGAACTTCATTCACCCACTCTTACCTCCAGATAAGGCCTCACCCTCACAGATGAAACGCGGCAGCAAAAAAAACAAAACCTAGACTTTTCTTTGCACATCCCACATTGCTGCTATTCAACCTTGACCTGCTCCCTTTCCAAAAATAATTTCTTTCCTGCTTCTCAAAAGTAAATAACCCTTGCATTTGATACAGATCCATTTCATGTCTGGAGGCCGTCCCAAAGCAAAGCACTTTGCATGATTTACTGTAAAGTGTAGGTGAATGTCTGTGACTTTTGTTGATTCTTGGAACACAGTATCTTTTGGATCCCGTGAAGTATTTTTGCTCAGGTTTCTCTGTACGCTTTCTCATTCTGTTTCCAGCCAGATATGTCATTTTTTTTTAAAAAACAGAATAGATTAACGGCTGGTTTTGCTATTGGGAGACTCTTACTGATATCCAGCACTGTGTGAGAAGCTACAACATTCAAATATTGTTTTAAATAGTTTGTATCTGCTGCCTTTACAGGAATTGCTTAGGCAACTTCCCTTTGAAGGTAAGGTGGGTTTCATTACATTGCAAGCATTACACATGAATGTAATCCTGTTCGAACAACTCAAAACTAGGACCGTTTCCAGTTATTGGTGTGGCCGGTTTGCTAATATAATTGGAATTTCAGACAGACGTTGGCTTTCAGGCTGTCTTTCTCACCGCATTGCCCTCTTATAAGTAGGTGTGCATTTTCAGATTTCAATAGCCCTAAACCACTTACGAGCTGAACCCACGCAGAAAATGTCATGAAGCATGAACTAATAAAATGTACCTAGCCTGGGGTCATGCAAAAGAGAGAAAACTCCAGCTGTTTGGCAGTATTTTCTTTTGAAGTACTTGATTATATCAGAGGGGGAGTTACTGAGAAACACTTCCTAAAGCTATAGCTTTTTGCAGGAACAGTACACATGCCTCCACCTAAACTTGCAGAAAAGATGTAAATCAGGCAAGAACTGAATCCGTTTTTTAATAACTTCTTTGACTGAGAAGCTTCAAAATGGATCATTCCTCTTTCCAGATTTTGTGTGATTCATGGTTTTACACGTGTGTGTGTGTGTGTGCGCGTGTGTGTGTGAGATGGGGTTGGAGGAGATGGGTAGGCAGCTGAGAACCATGATTTTTTGGTGTTATTTTGTAATATATTTAAATAGATTAGACCCTCAGCTGTAGAAACCTAACTGCATGCTGTGAGGCATTAGGTAACTGACTTAGTTGGATTATAAGAGGTTGGCAACAAGTGGAGATTTGTCAGTCTTTCTTGGCAGTAAGAATGGACGCCGCATGAGAAATGTGGCCCAAGGCACACAGCTAGACAGAGCGTTAGACAGAGATTTTACATTGGTTCTACATTGGTGAGGAATTGACTTGCTTCTGAATTCAGTTTCCAGCAATTGCCCATCATATAACACCACACCCAATGTCAGTATAAAAGTGAACAAGGTCATGTTTTGAACAGCGAATAATGAGCAAATTAGCTGAGTTGATATATTTAGTGAAATGTACAATGGAAAACAATTTTTACAGCTAATTAGAAGAGGAAAGTGAAGAGCCGTTTTAAATTGGGATCTAGTTTTCGATTTATGTTAACCTTGGAGAATGAAAGAAAAAGCTCCAGCTGTTTGTTTTAATTATTATTATTATTATAGGTGTCCTCAATGATATAATTACTACTTGTTCTTGAAATGCCTTCAAAACTAATAATAAATTGATCACTCAATCCACGACTGTTTGTGGGACACTACTGTGCGCAATTGGCTGCCACGTTTCACCCACAAAATATACAATCAATTGACTTTGCAGTATATTCTGTGAAGCTCTTTGAGACGTCTCGAAGATGTGATAAGGCGCGACATCAAATGCAAGGATTATTATTATAGCGCAAAGAATTTCTGAGTATCTGTACTAATGATTTCTGTGGAATGAATATCCTATTTCTACCTTGAAGAATGACTGTGTTATTACTTGCAAGTGACTTTTGATTTTCTTGCAGGTCAGAAAGACCCTAACAGCCTACGACTTAAATACAACTTTATTGCAGATGTGGTGGATAAGATCGCTCCTGCTGTGGTTCACATTGAGCTCTTTCGGAGGTATGAAAGATCCTTAATGAACAACTCTGTACACACAATCTTCCTGCAGCTTGTTTCATTGTTATCATTCTGGAGATATCGGAATCGTTATTTATATAGAGAGGTTTTCTTTGCACAGAAAGTTGAAAAATTGTCTCTTCCATATCTTTTTCAGCTGCTGTTACCTTTCTAGAGTAAAGTTGGTGGTGGGGTATTTTGAGCTCCACAGTCAGAACTTTCCCATTCTTCCAGATAATTGGTTTTTTTTTAGTCAGCCAGGTGTCTGACACATGTAGAAACCCACCACCACACTGAAGAGTATCCGAACCAGACTGAGAGTTTCAAATGTGATTGCCACTTATGTGTGGAAATGTTCCTGTGTCTGGAATGTAATGCACACTCTCTGCCTGGTGGGACACACCCTGCTTCCATAATCCTGGAGAGTATTAGTTGAAGGGTTGGGGAACACAGAGTGTGCAATGGGGTACTGCTGAAGTTTCAACCTACAGCAGCAAAAAATAATAAATTGCATTTATATAGTGCCTTTCATGTCAGCAGGACATCCCAAGCAAAAGCCTTGCTGTTGAGAGCACCCTTCCAGATAAAGAAAGTTGGATGGAGTGGTGAAGACTTTGTGGAACAATAGTAATTGTATATATTTGTATGCATTTAAGTTGAAGGAATTAGCAAAACAAACCTGCTAACAACTTCCTAAATTCCCCAAGGTGATTTAACTTTCAGAACCATAGAAATGAACCATGCAGAAAGGGGATTTTCACCCCTGTGCTGAACCTCTGAAAGAGATATTGTTTTAGTCCCATTCTGCCTTTTTTCCACATCCTTTATATTTATCCTTTTGAACTGTTGATGTGATTCATTCTTCCAGCGAAATTAATAACATCTCTTCCATATCTCTATCCATTCTTGGAATCAGTACTTTATGGATAAGGATTGCGATTACGATCTTAAAGTTACAAAGGAGAAAATGAAGTGGAAAGCTGGCTTAATTTTAACATCAGAATTAAATCTTGCAGACAAACTGCCCATTACAGGAGAAATTGCAGAAATTAATTATGGTACATTACATCATTTGTGTGTAAATGAATGGATAGGGAGCAATGACTGCGTTACTCCATTACTCAGTTCTTTGTGTTATATGTAAACATTTGCTGAAAATAAACATACAAATGTTGCTGAGTTGTTCAACCAGACAGATTTATGGTATGAATTTATTAACTAAATAATAATAATTTCGTCATTCAATCCACGACTGTTTGTGGGACACTGCTGTGCGCTATTGGCTGCCTTGTTTTGCCCACAAAATATACAGTCAATTCACTTTACAGTATATTCTGTGAAGCGCTTTGAGGCGCCTCAATGACGTGATAAGGCGCTATATCAAATGCAAGGATTATTGTATTATATTATAAACCCTTTAAAATTTAATAGGTTATTTACCCTCTTATTTATTCCAGGTCACCCTTTTCCAACCGCGAAATGTCTGTTGCGAGCGGCTCCGGGTTCATCGTCTCCGAGGATGGTTTGATAGTGACCAACGCACACGTGGTTACTAACAAACATAGGGTGAAAGTGGAGCTTAGGAATGGAGCCACATACAATGCCAAGATAAAGGACATCGATGAAAAAGCCGATATTGCCTTAATTAAAATAGACACTCCAGTAAGTATTCAGTTACTGCAGACTTTTATATTCAGAATTATTGCATCCATCTTTTAAAGATTGCATTATAGTATAATCATAGACAGTTGATGTGTGAACAGCTAGATACCAGTATATTGAAACTTGTCAATGTTATAAAGACAGTTATCAGGTTGTTGAAGTTTGAGTTCAAGTGCATTGTTTTAGGTGACATTGGTTGCGTGCACTAGCAACTGCAATTGTATTTAACAAAATGTTTTATTTCATTACCTATTTTTTCTCGATTAATCTGATTAACCTAATCGGAATAAATGGTTAAGTTTTATTTATTCATGTTGTGTAAATTGGAAATGTAACCCTTCTAGCACATTCCATTTCAGGAACAGTTGTTGTGAGTGCCATTTTTGCCTGGATTATTTGAAGCTTGTTGTGTTCATTCTTTCATTCAAGTGTTACTTGGTATTTGTGGAATGTTGCTTCAGGGTTCTCAGACCTACATTCATTAAACAGATGTGTTACTTTTGGTAGCAGACAAAATACTTTGATCACATAGATGACATTTTTTCAGAATCAGATCATGTTCCCTCAGATGTGTGCTTGGCCATCTAGGACATGCACGAAGTTCCCACTGATCAGTTTTGCCCACAAAATACACAGTCAATCCACTTTACAATACATCCTGTCAAATGCTTTGAGATGTCTGAAAGACATGATAAGGCGCTAGAACAAATGCAAGGATTACGATTATTACTACTGGTCTGGCACTACAGTGTATGATATTATTAGTGGAGATCTTCCATTGGATTGTTGGGTAAATACATTGCAAGGTGTAGTATTAGGAACATAGGAACATGGGAATTAGGAGCAGGAGTAGGCCATTCGGCCCCGCCATTCAATAAGATCATGGCTGATCTTCTAACCTAACTCCATCTGCCCGCCTTATCCCCATATCTCTTAATCCCTCATTCCTTTAGAGATCTATCAATCTTAGACTTGAATATGTTCAAGGACTGAGCACCTACAGCCCTCTGGGGTAGAGTATTCCATAAATTCACTACCCTTTGAGTGAAGAAGTGCTTTCTCAACTCTGTTCAAAAAGACTGACTAGTGAATCTACGCTGCACCTCCTCTAAGGCGGGTATGTCCTTTCTTAAATAAGGAGACCAAAACTGCACACAATACTCTAGGTGCGGTCTCTCCAAGGCCCTATACAGTTGCAGCAAGACTTCCCTACCCTTGTACTCTAACCTTTTTGCAATAGACGCCAATATGCCATTAAGCCTTCCTAGTTGCTTGCTGTAGCTGCATACTAATGTTTTGTGACTGGTGTACAAGGACATCCAAATCCCTCTGAACACTAACACTAGTCTCTCCCCCTCTCGTATTGAGTCTCATAAAATCCCAAGAACGAGTTGATCTCAGCCAATAGACAGCGAAGGTAGAAATTTTATCTTCTCAAATAGGAAAGAAAAGCAGCAACAGGGTTCCTGATCCTGACTGATGTTTTGGGGGATTTCTGTTGGAACACACGTTTTTATAATTAAAAAAAGGTTTTGAACAATTGGGAAGGGAGGGGGGGTAATTGCTGTGACATGTATAAACATGATGTTCAAGTGATTGATTGTAGCTTGTTTGGCATAAGGTTTATTTTAATGGCTTGCCCCATTGATTAATGAATCCAAACATCAGTTGTTGTGTTACATGACTTATATTCTGGGTTAAGGACATCTGTATGTCTCACGCAATGGTCTGGTATTTTCAATTCACGCTCAAGCATGAAATAAGTTCCTCACTGATCAGTTTCTCAGTAGAAAATGTTCTCTCTACATTTTGGCAGAGAGCTGAAAAAACCACACCAACAGTGCATAAATATATTGCTTCAGATGTAAATGAGCAGCAGAAAGCTTGCCTCGAGCAGTCGGAAACAATCCTAACATGCTCCCAGATGCCAATGTCTAATGGTACTTAAACACCTGCAGAAATAAATTATGGAGTTGGCTGTGAAACTGACTGTTCAATTGTTGCTGCTTGTCAGTGTTGAGCAAACAGGGAATCGTGCTGAAAACAAAGTGTTTATGTATGATAATATCCATCAGATATAATTCCAGATTGATTGAGCATTGCTTTGAGAGAAGGCATTATTCTTTTGAAGTAGTCTCATTGTAAATTTCCCAGGAATATTGGAAGTGATATGGCTGCAAGGAACTCAAATAGCAATTATTATTTGGGACTTCATTTAGTGTTGATAAATGCTTATTACCACAATAAAAATGTTCTCAACTCTGTACAGTGCATTGAAAAATATTCCACTTAGCTTTTTTTTCTTTTAAGCCAACTGTGATTAGTTTATGACAACGCAAGTGCACAAGCTGGAAGACACATAGCAAATATATTGGATCTACTTGCGTTCCTTTCACTGAATAACTGTTTGCCATTTAATTGCATTGTCTTGCCTAGAATATTTTCTTAGCATGAAATGATTCTGCAGCTTCAAGCAGGTTGGATCCTGTGTGTCTTTCGGGGAATTGTTCAGCACTGAATCACCAAACCACAGTCTTAATCTTCCGATTCACCAGACTCCATTCATGTCCCAGGATGGGTGTGATCAAATTCTAATTATTAAGCAGCTGAATAATAATAACTATAATGATAATGTGGTTCTGATGTGTTTTCAGTCATCTCTGAAGGAGAAAAAATGCTGGACTCTGAATTTCCAAATGTTGATACCCCAAACTTAGTGCAATATACACAGAGCCTTGATTGTCCTGAATAAAGCAGATATGGCAGTGGTAAGAAACTAAAATGCTGGAAGGAACAAAGCACATTCTTGTTTTGACTGTAAAATGAATTAATCAGACAAAGTAATCCTTGCAATTTATGCAGCATTGAATTATGTTGTCAAGACACCTCAAAGCGCTTTGCAGAATATACTGTGAAGATGGAGTAACTGTGTATTTTGGAGGTGAATGAAATCAGATGCTCGAAAGTTTGATGTTTTTCCTACGATTGCTCTCATTTTCCACTAGTAATTGATCGGTAAATGATGAACAAAATTGCTTATCGTGAATCATAGCAATTCTTGAAATCTCAAGAGAGGGTATGATGAACCAGGCTATAATGCTGGATTTTGCTGATGGATAAACTAGGTCTAAAATGGCCTTATTCTGCTTTTGATCTCTGATTCTTGTATGGTACAATCAAACACAAACCAGCTTTATGGTTTGTAAGACTCATTAGTCAGATCAGTTTCAGTAATTACATTTTAATCAGGTTCCAGCAAGTTATTTAAGACATCTCTTGTGCTCGTTCGAATCGAGAGGTGTTCAGTTTTCTCCAAGAAACCTTGTATTGCAGTGAGACAAGGGAATCCCCCATTGTTACTGTGCTTTGGCTGTTTCATTTGTGTAGATTTACAGTATTTATGTTGATTAAATAAAGTCATTGGTGGGCTTGTGGTACAAAGCTTCACTAATTGCTTANTTTTTATCTGAAGTTCAAAATTCCTGAACCAAGACTGATCCTGATCCAAGCATAACATCGCTTTTACCATGGTTTTAAAGGAATTGAGGATAAGTTCCACCAGAGTTTTATCCTTCAGTATTCCTTCTACAAAATAAATCCCTAGCAACCAGTGATATATTAAAAGAAAAAACCCTCCAAGGAAGGACGTACTTGCCTGGGAGGGGGTGCAGCGTAGATTTACTAGGTTAGTGCCAGGGATGAAGAGGATGAGTTACGAGGATAGGCTAAACAATTTGGGCCTATATTCTCTAGAATATAGAAGAATTAGAGGGGATCTTATAGAAACCTATTAGATCATCAAGGGGCACTGATAGAGTAGATAGTGGGAGATTGTTTCCCCTGGTTGGAGAAACACAAACCAGGGGTCACAACCTTAAATTCAGAGGCCAACCCTTTCGCACTGAGTTGAGGAAGAACTTCTTCACTCAAAAGGTGGTGAATGTATGGAACTCACTACCCCAAAGGACTGTTGACGCTCAGTCCTTGAACATATTCAAGATTGAGATAGATAGATTTCTTATTGCAAAAGGGATTAAGGGATATGGGGATAAGGCAGGGTCAGGTTATCAGCTGAAGTAGAAGATCAGCCATGATTGAATGGCGGGGCAGGCTCAAAGGGCTGAATGGTCTACTCCTGCTCCTACATGTTATGTTATATTGTACTACATATTATTTAATGCCTCGGGTGGTGGAATTGTGGAGACTGAGTTTCAAATGGCACTTTGTTATAGAGGGAATTTCCATTTGTCTCAACCGTTTAAACAGCAGGAACACATGGAAATACAATTCTCTTTGGGAGGGCGTCCATCTGTAAGTGTATCCTTTAAACCATTTTTCATTGATTTTCCATGTCAATCTTGCTGAGAGATCCGCTTGTCCTGAGGTTTTTATTAGAAATGTTCTAGGATCGAAAATTGTTATGAAATCGAATCATAAATTTCTCCTACCACTAATAGGCGTTTTATTTAAGCCTAAAATAGATGCTTATCCAGTGAGTGAAATACTACGGTCTTTGACTAACCTTGAAATGGTTGGTATATTGAGTGAGGTGAATGTTGGAGCATGTAAACAGTAACATTTAAATACCATACGAAAAAAATAATAATAATAATAATAATTTGGTCACTCAATCCTGACTGTTTGTGGGACGCTGCTGTGCAATTGGCCGCTGCGTTTGGCCAATATACAGTCAATTCACTTTACAGTGCATTCTGTGAAGCACTTTGAGACGTCTCGAAGACATGATAAGGTGCTATATCAAATGCAAGGATTATTATTATTATTATTATTAGACGCAAGCCATTTCAACAATGACAGTGTTTTCAGACTGGTTGGATTTCTCTGCGAAGCAGATATTTTTTAGCTGAATTTATTTCTATTTACACGGCCAAACTTCCCATAGCTACAGACTAGGCACATTCCAAGGTCTGGTTTTCATAGACACTTTCTAACATTTCAAAGGTTTGGGGTTTTTCGTCTTTGCCAACATTTTGCTTTTCATTTGGAGTTGTGACAAATGCATTTGAAAGAACTACACCAACCCTATCCAGCCCTAGCCAATCTGATTCTGAATATTGGCAGCCTATGTTCCTAGTGAGGATTTTTTCCAATCCCCTGTTCCTTATTAAAGTACGTATTGCTTTTATTATAAAACGGTTTCAACTTTGACTTATAAGGTGTTTCCGAGGTGGCCAATAAAATTCCAAAAGGAAAATCGGTCACAAAATGTCGTTTAGAGCATTTGTCTTTTCCTTATTAACCTTCAACACTGGAAATATAAACATGTTGAAATGTGGACATAGACTAAACAGTCCAGTGGTGCAATTGCTGTGCCAAATATGTGCCATGTCTGCCACCCAATTGTCATTGGCCGTGCCTTCAGCTCCCCTCTCGACTCCCCTCTCGACCGTGCCTTCAGCTCCCCTCTCGACTCTCTTCCCCCTCCTCGCTCCCTCCTTTCCCTCCCCTCACCCTGACCATTTCCCCCCTCCTCGCTCCCTCCCTTCCCTCCCCTCACCCTGACCATTTCCCCCCTGCTCGCTCCCTCCCTTCCCTCCCCTCACCCTGACCATTTCCCCCCTGCTCGGGTCCTGACCCAACTGTGCAGCGCCTTGGGACGTCCTCCTGATGTGAAAGGCGCTTTATAAATGGAATCTTGTTGTTGTTGTTGTTGTTGTTGTCATGTTTCCCACACAGTGAGCCTTGAAACGGCATAATGACTGTCAATGTGAGTTACCTATCTGAGCTGCATTGTGAGGAGGTGTTGATCAGAGGCTTGTCCTACACTTATCCTGTAGAGTAATAGTTAGAGCACTCACCTTGCAAGCAAGAGGACCTGGGTTTGATTCCTGGGCAGGGAGAAATGTTGGGCAAGTTTGCTAACTCCAGGCGCCTCTGATTACCAAGCAGTAATTTACTCGAATGGCGGATCATTTTTCTGGGGATAATAATGCCTTAAAATAAATTGGGTCACTCAATCTGTTTGTGGGACAATGCTTTGTGCAATTGGCTGCTGGGTTTCGCCCACAAAATATACAGTCTGTGAAATAGCCAGTATATCCAATATCCAGTATATCCTGTGAAGCGCTTTGAGACATCTTGAAGATGTGACAAGGCGCTATACCAAAGGATTATTATTATATTATTAAGGATAAGGATAAGGAAGGAGGCAAAATCAGAGCAAGAACTAATCTGTGAGCAGAGTGGAGGAGAGGAGAGCCAAGCTTTCAGTCCATTTCTATGCAATGCTCTTTAGCTCAGTGAGATATGGAAAAGGGATTTTTCTTTTTTCTTAAAATAAAATGTAGAACCTAACGACTTGGAGTATATTTGTAGGCGATCGGCTATCAGACAGTTCCTGTTTTTAGGTTACGAAAAGATAAGACATCAATAGTTTCTAGTTCCGACTCCTCCATCTGCCTGACCTTATGAAGGGAAGTTCATTGTTGTGTCTGGCAAGGAACTGAAGCAACATCAGTAGCTTTCCATTCATTTGTGTGCACATACTTGATGATCATATTGCTAAATTAAGTAAGTGGTCAATCACTTCATGCTGTTTGTGGTACACCGCAGTGTGCAAAATTGGCTGCCCTGTTTGCCGACAAAACACACAGTCACTACATTTTACAGTATGTCCTGGGAAGCGCTTTGAGATGCCTTCCCAAAGCTTTATACCAAACATAAGGGTCATTATAACAAGTATTGCGAAGATATCAAGATCTTTGTGCAGGCTTGAACCACCGTAAGAAATGTTGCGAGCTCCGATAGCTAGATAACAGTACAATGTTGGGAGCAAAGTTCCCTGAATTTCAGTTGCAGCCTTTAGCCTCTGCTAGCTTCCCAGTTTCCGCTACTGTCACTGACGGTAACAAAGATCCCTAAATCTAACATTCAGTTCCCGCATAAAGTCTCGATTTGATCCTGATCCCAGGAAAGGCGGTGTGGAATTCCACTTTCTGTCGCTTCCTCCCGAAGTCCTGAGCTGTAAAAAAAAAAGTGGCAGAGATTCACAGTGCAACAAAATCTCCCGATGGCATGTGAAAGATTGGTTCAGTTTTTTTCCTGATCTAGATCATTAAAACATCGACCAGAGAATGTTTGCCGACCTCTTTCAGAATCTCGCTGCTTTGCTGCAGATGTTTGATTGCTTTGTGTGTTGATGACTTTAAATGTGGGTTGGCAAAATGAGCTCTGAGCAGGTCTCAGCTTGTCCACTCAGCACATATTTGTGCCTGTTTCTTTCCTAGATGTCAACGAGTGGGTGCGAATAGTTTGAGGCCAGTTTTAGGAACACAGGAATGTACGGGACTGGAATCGACTATTGTGGTTGATGAGAGATAGTCTATTCCTATGATATTCCTGTACATTCCTATGGAAGCAGTCATTCGTTTTCTGTCACCAATCTACATTCCAAGTTCTGTTACACTGAATTACAATACAATACAAAATGACACTTGTGTAACGCCTTTCACATCGGAAGGACTTCTTACGGCGCTGGACAGTCAGGAATTTGCCAAAGGAGGCTTCTGACACTCAGCAGGATATCACCCTCCCGAGTTCTGGGCATTCAACCTCCTACCCACCTGGGCGTCTGCAGGATTTGCTAATAACAAATCCATTCACGCAGCGTGATCTTGTAAATTGTTCCCATTTCCTTTGTGAGTAGCTAAAAAGTTTATTTCAGCAATTTAATCATCTGCAGATCCCAAGCATGGTGGCCAAATATGTGGAGAACTCTCATCTGTTGATAATTTTAATGGATTTTCTTCTTCGTTTCATTTTCCTGCACGAGCCAGGAAAATGGCCCAAGCATCTCCCCTTCTGTCTTTTCCAATTCATCATAAGGAAGCCTTTGGTCTGAAGCTCTCGCTGAACCTTTGGGCAGTTAAAAACCAACTTTTTGGCAAATTGTAACTATGAACCGAAAGTGGGTTATATTATAGCCCTGTAGACCTAATTTGTATGATCTACCTATTAACCAATATAATGTGAATAAAGAATGGGTCAAGGAGTTAAGGGACACTTCTGCGAAGACTGGCTCATAGCTTGTCTGTACAAAATAATAATATTCTTGTTGTGATAAAGAAATGAATATTATAAGTACATATGTTGATGTATTTGATTTGTGCAGACATGGCTACTCCAGTGCAAATGGTTTGTCCAAGCAAAAGATGTTCCAGCGCCTTGGGACGTCTTCCCAATGTGAAGGCGCTATACAAATGTAATTTTGTATTGTATTGACTGTAGTGTCTGCATACTGTAGTGTAGTGTTTGCAGCACGAAAACAGGATAACTGCCGGATTCCTCTAGTTAGTTTGTTATAAGAAATTGATGGGGTTAGATGTTCTCAGATAGATATTTGCTAGGTCAGGGTATCGAAGGAATATGGCGCAAGGTCAGGTTGAGGTACAGATCAGCCATGATCTTATAGAACGGCGGAACGGGCTCAAGGGACTGAATGTTTCTTACTGATTCTATGTAAGATAAAAGGGTGAATGTTAAGCTTTCATTCTTTTAAATTTCAATCTTTGTGTTAAAATGTACTCTAACTGCTTTGACAGGATAAGCTGCCAGTCCTGCTCCTGGGCCACTCCATAGACCTGAGGCCGGGAGAGTTTGTTGTAGCCATTGGGAGCCCATTTTCTCTACAAAACACAGTGACAACCGGAATAGTGAGCACAACCCAACGAGGAGGCAAGGAGCTGGGACTCCGAAACTCTGACATGGATTACATTCAGACCGATGCCATTATCAATGTATGTTCAACAGATCTTTTCTTTGTTCGTAAGCTGAGCCATTTTATGTTGATGAGCGCTTCTGTTACTCCATCTTTTGATCTGATGATTGTGTTTCTTTTGTAAAACAGTATGGAAACTCGGGCGGTCCATTGGTGAATTTGGTAAGTACTTCCATCTGGCTCATTCCCTCCCCTACTGTTTCCCGCTGACCCAAGGAAAGAGCTATAAAAAACGTTTAGTTTTCCCCTGAGATTCAGTGTTGGGCAGAAGTCAACTTTGTTTACAATTACTGAGCAGATTTGAAGGCTTATTGAAGTACTAATCCAGAAGAGTAACTTAAGAGTTTAATAAGAGTTGCCTCTTCGAAGATGCAATTTAGATACAGAGTTCACCGTGTCCCAGGTATAACTCAGCTCAGTGTTGATCCGCTTATAGTGCAGGTGTACTGTGGACCCATGGTATACCAGAATATACCTTTGGGAGATGGAGCTACAAATGGGTGGGTTTTACATGATCCACTGCAACAAATGGACTTTTTTGCATTCCATTTTGCCTGAGTGTCTGATGTAAGTTGACATTTGCCTTGAATTTTCCCTGTGGTGCTAAAATCATAATAGAGTATTACATTCTTTTGTACGTGATTGTTTCACACAGGATGGCGAGGTGGTTGGAATTAACACCCTGAAGGTGACTGCTGGAATATCATTTGCTATCCCATCGGACAAAATCCGCCAATTTCTGGCTGAATCTTACGATCGACAGTCGAAAGGTATGAGGATTATGTGACTGGTGAAAGCAGGTGTTTTAATCATTATGAACAGCCTGCAGGGATTCCCTCTTTCTTCTGCATGAAAGTACCTCACACAGTTTCTTTCAGTGTCCCTCTATACTTATTACTTAACATTAATACTAGAAATAAAGGAAAAGTATGAGCAATAATGGTATAGACACTAACCTTCCTACAACAACAACAACAACAACTTAAATTTATATAGATCCCCTCACGCAGGGCAGCATCTCGGAGTGCTCTCCTATGCCAGCTTCGACCACAAACTCATTTTACATTGGTACAAAATGTCATTCGCATCTTTCTGCCAAAATGCCAATGTGGTGCCCGAGGCTTTGCGGATATGTGGTTTAATATTCAAAGCAGAACCTGTAAAAGCCGGTGAAAGAACTTCAACAAAGGTAGTTTGGGGACAAAGTCAACAGGGAGTATGGACCATTAAATGAAAGTGGCTTCCTGAGACTACTGATGAATCCAGCCCTTTCATGGACTGTGAATGGAATTCTCTTTTACATGAGGCTTAGGAACTGGCTGCAGAACTTGTTCAACAAAGGGTAGCCTTCTTTTGAGTGTTTATTTTGATAACATGAGTAGGCTTGCCCGTTTCCAATTTTAATCAAGTTGGTATTTATCGGGTTTTCCAATTTTCTCCACATTGAGGAAAATTAGTTCCTATTGTTAAACATCCTTTATTTTTATCAATCGCTTTGAACTACCAAATGGACGCTTTGGATGAAATGCTTCTGTGCCATCCTTTAATGTCAAATATTTGCTAAGAATATTGCTAAGACTGCCGGGCAGAAATTTGTTGCCCGCTAAGATGTGTTTCTGTTGGCTTGATTGCAGTTTAATGTGGTCACTGATACAACAAGGATTTTTCCTGCAGATTCTTCATGGCGTTTTGGATTCATTTTTAACCAGATTGCAGCATAATCTTATTTACTATTAATGGGATATTGTCATAAATCATAAACTTTTAAGCTACCTTTAGTGACATTGTTGCACTCAAAATATCTTGATCTCATAGGAGTAGTCTGTCCAACATTTAGACATACTCCCACTTGAAATAGCTCTCAAACTGGCCAATCCACTCGTTTTCAGTGACTGAAATTGTTATCTGCAACAGGCTGGAAACAGCATTGTTCCTTTATTTCAAGCTCAGGCCTGTTTGACCAGCTGCTGAAATAAAATCTGACCCAGATGCTCCTGTTATTGAGGCTCGTACTTATGATACAGACTTTGAAGATCTCGAACATCTTCTTTTAAAATTAACCTCAAAGCTTGCCAAGTTCGGCCGAGGATGATTTGGCAAACATTTCCAAGGGCCTTTCATCAGCACACATTGTTAGGCACACGCTAGGTAATGGGTCTGGCAGGAAAGCACTCCGTATAAAAATGCATTCTTACTGACTTCCATCAAAGCTCTGTTCCTGCCTGTCTATTCTCTTATATCTGTCTTGCTTTTTTAAAGGAATAACTTCAGTCAAGAAGAGGTACCTGGGAGTCCGAATGATCACCCTCTCCTTTAGGTAAGTCGACTGGGGCATGCAACAATTCTATAGCAATTTTATGTAATCACTTTTAATTTCGTAAAATGAATGTCAAGGCATTTTCTTTCACTGCTGCTGCTTTACTGTCAACAAAGTACAAAGGACAATTGTGTTCTGGAATGTGCAGCTGCGAGCCTCTTCAAGTTCATAATGGTGCCTGCAACAAAGCATGAATACTTGCCATTGATGGGCAATTTCCTGTTGGCATTGTGGCAGGAATGAAATTGTCAGGTAGACTGTGTAGCCAAGCACGAGTGCTACATTATCAGGATGTGCCAGTGGTGACTGACAATGGAAGGACTGTATTGTGCTGTGGCCACTAATCCCATTCCCTACCAAAATAACAGCAACAGCAGGTCTGCAGTTTGCTCAAGAAAAAGTCTGAGACCCAGAATTTCTCGTGGTTTTAGCGCAACTTAAACCTGTAAGATCACGCTGAATTTTTTTTAAAAAAGACCCTCTTCATTCGGAAGCAGGTTTTTCCCCAGTTCTTTCTTATAGGGAAAGACAACTCCACCATTTCCGAGCTTGGTCAACAACCCGAAACTGAAGAGTTTTGTGAATGGTAGGAACATAGGAAAACAGAGCCCAGATACGTGTGAAACAACAGCAAGTCAGCAAGTGAAGTAGAAATGAGATGGACCCCAACTGGTCCCATCTGCTCTATGTGAAAGTAACATAGCTCTTTGAAAATCTGGAAATAGGATCTAAAATGATCGAAAATATTGTTGTGCCTAAGTGTGTTGTGTGTGTAAACATTTTGTAGGTAAAGTGGTTGGAATGTACTTCTATTTCATTGGAAACTAATTTGGTTCTACAGATTTTGCACATGAATCAAAGGGAACAAGTGATATGATTTGCTAAGAGCTCTGCTGTTCTTTAATATGGAGAATATTTGCTGACATTTTTACCCTTGTGCTCTTTTACAGCCTTGCAAAGGAACTGAGAGATCGTCACAAAGATTTCCCTGATATCAATGCCGGAGCTTACATCATTGAGGTCCTCCCTCGAACGCCAGCTGCCGCGTAAGTGGAGAACTTCAGTACTTCCGTTCTGAATCCTTCTAAAATGCTCCTCACTGAGATAGGATATGAGGCTGATACTACAATGACCAGTTGCTTAAGAAGGAAAAACTTAAGAAGGATATGGGGAAAGAGCGGGGAGTGGGACTGACTGGGTAGCCGAATGGCCTCCTTCTGTGCTGTAATATTCCATGAGTCTATACTTTCCGTCCACAGTGCGCATGTGCAGAAAGCTGGTCATCCGCGCCAGAAGTATATTGTACTTAACCACATAGCCACACCAGACCCACATTCTAAGTGAACTCACACTCTATCAATGCACTTATTAATAACAGGGTTGGCCTGTATTCATTTATCTCTCTATCACTTCTCCCCATACAGCTGTTTTAAAAATATATCAAACAGATTAACAACAACTTGCATTTGTATAGTAACTGCCACGCAAGGTAGTGTCTCACAGCACTTAAAAAACATATTAATATCATCACCTGGTAGCCAGATACTGAATTTCTTCTTCTAGTGTATTTCATTCCCCTGGGAACAAAAATAGAAGTTCCAAATATAAACGTGATTTCTCACGAATCCTGAGAACTATTTGTGTTTGCTCTAAGTTGGATGTAAAAATTATCCATTTCTTGCCTAATAGGAAATGAGCTCTTAAAATTCAATTGTTTTGATATAGAATCAAGTTTGTTGCAGGGTAAGGGCATAAGTATTTCCCTTCAAAGTTTTCAAAAACAAGTTGATATGGTTGGAATGTGTTAAGAATGTAATTTTTTGCAATTGATTCTATTTCCCACAGTTATGTCCAATGCCTCCCATATTTGTTTGATTAAGCAGACCCTGAGAAATGTTCTTTTAATTACAGAAGTCAGTTACGTGAAATGCAACACAAGCAGGATTTAAAACTAACAAAAAAATGGTTGAAGGCAAATAAGTAGAGGTTAACCTTCTAGAAGCACTGTAAAAACAAAACTGGAGTTCAACAAAAAATTTCTTAATGTACAGACTGAGTCACTTAACCAGTTCGATTGTGATTTGGGTTCTAGCCTTTTTGATGCACCCCTTTCATTTGAGATAATAATCATATAAGGGTATAATAATATAATAATAGACACTGCTGTGCGCAATTGGCTGCCACGTTGCCACGCACAAAATATACAGTAATTTCCCTTCACAGTATATTCTGTGAAGCGCTTTGAGATGTCTCAAAGACGTGATAAGGCGCTGTATCAAATGCAAGTATTATTATTATTGTTATTTTTTCTTCTGTTCCCAGCGGAGGCCTAAGGGACAATGACGTCATTATTAGCATCAATAATCAGCTGGTGACTTCTGCCAGTGACGTCAGCGAAGCTATTAAAAAGGATTCGTCCCTCTCAATACTTGTCCGTCGAAAAAATGAAGATTTGAGGATTAATGTTGTGACCGAAGAAATTGAACCTTAAAGAATAAAGTGAGCTGGTTCTCCTGATCCTGTAAATAATACCAAGAAGTTGACACTTACTGGATGGATATGATCCCCAAACACATCGGCATATAAACCTGTTGTGTTCACTGCAGAAAGCCATCTGGAAATACCTGCAGCTTGGGTGATGCTTAAGCGATCTGGGACGCTACCCAGCACGGGGGGGCGCGATATAAATGCAAGTTGTTGTTGTTGTCACAAGCTATCATATCCTGAAGCAATTTATCACTTAGAATTGATTTTCTTCATGCATCTTATTTCATGTTATTTTTACTCTGTGTACATTTCTATGTCATTTTAATCTGCCTTTTAAGTTTAGATGTGAATGGGTTCACAATGGGATAGATTCTCTTTACAGCTGTTTTTTTTGGTGGGAGGATATTGCAAATGGGACCAGTAACAAATCTCTCATGACCCTGCTATTAATTTCATCTCTTGCAATGCAAATACATGTAAGGACGGGCAGATTTTATATGTTGATGTGGTCTGTTTTGATGACCAATCTGGAATCAGGCGATCGATCTAACCATCCAACAAATAAAGGTTTCTCCTAAATGGGAACACGTGACTAATATCCAGTGTACTTGGTTTCTTTCACATTCCCTATTTTGTTGGGTCACACACATCCTGAGGCCAAAACAGTGGTGAACAAACCCTAGCCTACCAAATTGCCGTCTTGAACCAAAGCTGTTTCAGTAATGGCTTTTTCTATGATTGTTCATTGTTTTTCCACAGCTATGATTGGGGTCTCAATATCTTAAGGGTCAAGACTGCACCCCAAATCTTGTTAGACTCTGTATCACTTTACCGATCTACTTCTGCACCATTATGGTTTTACAATTGGTTTCAACGATATAGCGCCATTGCTGTGTTGTAGATTAGGGACACAACACCAGCCTGTCTCCTAGCCCAATCCCACCTCTTTTTGAGTCTGGGTTGGAGCTGTTTTATCAGAGCTGGAGAAAAGTCACCTCCCAGCCTTTGCCCATCTGTTGCCAAATGTTTCTGTCACTTCATGACTTTAAGGGTGTTAGAGTGATCAACTGAGTTTCATCAGAATTAACGTGTAAATATCCTGCTAAATGCTCATCTAATATTGCACTCACTGCCTTTCAGCTGGTCAAATATTCCCTGCAAACGATCAACATTTTTTCCATTTCAGTTTAATTGTGCAATGCACACAAATTACTACAACTAATGGATAGATTAATACCATGTTAATCTGTTCCTCGCTTAAAAATGAGTTAAACAAAAGTATTACTTGCTCTCTAGACTCAAGCCGGAATTCTGCCCCCACTGACTTAGATTTGGGCAAAACTCTGCCCAGAGTAACACGTCACAATAGGGTGTAAAGCAATATGAATTTAAATAGTTTGCACATTGAAACTAACTGAAAGATGAAATCACAGAACATAGATGACAGTAAAAATAATCAAGGTTGTCTATTTCAGAACTGTTTACATTAAATTGGGTGCTTTTGCTGGGAGGGTTGTAATGTAATATAGATTTATGTTAGGACTACATTCCGTAACATTAGCTTCTATCAAAACAGTTTTTACATGAGCAGAAGAAAATAATGTAGCTGTCCTCTGGTAGAGTTTTGCTTTAGGGCAGTTTTTTTGTTGCTCACTAAATCCAGACCAGGTTTTTGGATAAATATGTTGCATTGTCAGGATTTTCTGCTTTAAATGCCAGAAAATCTCACTGCAAAGAGCAGGCAATTCTAAATCTTAAAATGTAGGATTGCGGTCATACATGTCCATGGCATTTTGTTTGGTAGCATTTTTTTTTAACACACTTTTTTTTGGGACACATGTGAACCTTTGAAAATCATCCAAAAAGGCTCTGGATTTCGTACTTGGAAAGAATCAATGCTAAATGGCAAACACGTTCTGTCAGTATTCTATCCTCTACCTGTATCCCTTGACTACCTGCAGAAGTGGGAATTGAATCAAATCCCTTTGGAATGCTTCATATAAGTTTGTGGCTGCTGCATTAGATGGCAGTCTATTCCACGATGATCGAGCCCAAGATTAATGAAGTTATTCATTTATAACTTGATCTATGCCACAGATCAATTCCTGAAAAAGAACGAACACGGTTACCGAAAAGGTAGCAGCCACAGAAGATCATGAACCATCACACAACGCCAAAGCCTTTTACCAATTAAACCAAAACCTTACCCCTCAGCCACACACGTGCTTGCACACACCAACATCTTGACAATGAAAAAGCAAATGGGATTTGGTGAAGTTGTCAACTGACATCTCTCTTGTTTTCTTCCTTAAGTATTTGTTACAGGGATTTCACTCTTGGATTTTGGAGAACGTTCAGGTAGATTCTGTTTGGCTGCAGTTCTTTTAACCAAGTTAACATCCTATCAAAGTGGCACTCAAATTCAAAGGTTGTGTAGACCAGAGCAACTGTCAGATGCATTCAGAACCTAATGTAAGATATTTTCATTCTAATTCTTCAAAACCCATTTTGTGTTGATGATTAAAGAAATAAACCAAACTGCTTTAACATCCAAGATATATGTAAATGTGCTTTTTCTACGTGTACATTCTTAATGGGTCTTGTGATTCCTGATAGTTTCCTTAACTCTGGCAGCAATCCAGCAAGTGTTCTGTTACCACCCTGTTTGTTTACAGCCGATTCAATGGGAAAGTAATTATTGCATACATCTGTATAACCTTTTAAACAAAAATATTTTAACAGTAAAACCCAAGAGATACTTTGAGGTCATAGTCTCGCAGTCTATTTGTTACATTTGCTTATTTATGAAGAAAGATTAACATCACTCACTTCATCTCCTGTCCTTTTCCCTATACACTGCAGTTTTTCAGGGAACTGGCACAACAAACAGTGAGTGCAGTATAATTGACCCCCAGCTCGGGTCCAAATCATTGACTGTCCAGCGCCTTGGGACTTCCTCCTGACGTGAAAGGCACTTTGCAAATGTAATTTGTTGTTGTTGTCTGTCTGCTTTGTGCTTCAGTCAGTTTGCCTGCAGCTTCGTACAGAATGAGAGATTTCATAAAATGTAAATGTTATTCCCTTTGGAAATGTTTTGCGAAAGAATAGTTGCCCTTTTTGTGTGAGCAAACACATCTTTCGTGCCTGTTGGCGCATTAGGCTTGATGCATTATTTATTCGGTCGTATTATTGTTGCTACTGAAACGTTACATGGCAACACAGGCGCGTACAGGTTTTAAAGTTTGCATCACTCAAGGTCAGCGAAAAAGAGAGGGGCGGTAACTCCCAGAGCTATTCAGCTGCACTCCCCCTCCCTCCCATAATACTGTTTAGTTACTTCTGCTAGGATCTGGGGCAAGGAGCGGGTATAGCACTGAGAGCATGTTCTCATGATACTGGTGAAAACACATAAAGATATTTGTCAAAATATAATAAAAATAATAATCCTTGCATTTGATATAGTGCCTTATCATGTCTTCCAGCTCATTTGGGAAACTCTCACCTCTAAGTCAGAGTCTCCTAGTCTAAGCTGACCCTCCAATGCAGGACTGCATGGTCAGACGTGTTGTCTTTTGGCTTTCCTGCCTGTTTGGGTGGACGTTAAAAATGATGGCAGAGCATTCAAGGAGATGCCTTTGAAAGTTATTTATATGAATGTGTTTTTATCTTTACAAATGAATGGGGGAGGGACGATATTTAACAAACACTTTTGCCGTGATGGCATCTCCCTTTAAGGGGAGAGAGGAGTGAAGACCAGATGTTTCTTGAGGAAGAAGGGAGAGGTAATTGGAAGAGGAGTCAGCTTAGACTACATTCGAATACTTTCTGCAGATTGCCATGTCAGGCAGGAAATTATGTGGTGGGGGACTTGAAATCTGGAACATAGATGTCATGTTGTGTTTCCAATGTGCTACAATTCTCCATTCACTTGATATTCTTTGGACCATCCTTGCAACAGAAGTTTGTGAAACGTGGATCTGACATTGACCCAGCTGAAACAGTATTGCAGTGTGACAACATAATATTATTATATGATTTGTTTTGCAAGTGTAGCCAAAGCTCCCAATGAGTAAGGGTTTGGCACAAGAGTTAGTTCATGTGCTTTGCTTAGAAAGCCAGTGAACGGTTGAATCCAAACCAATGTCTTCGTGTTCATAACCACATCCTGATGAGTACAACTGCTTGTCGGACACTGCTGTTGGCAGCTGCTTTTCGCCCACCAAATATACAGTTGAATCACTTTACAGTATATTCTGTGAAGCGCTTTGAGACGTCTTGAAGATGTGATAAGGTGCTATAACTAATGCAAGGATTATTATTATATTATTACATAGGACTGGAAGTGAAATTACCTTTAGTCTGAATACACAACATAGGGTTAGTCAACTCCCATATACAGCAATTTATTAACCATCAGGAGAATTTTTTTGTTCACTAGGTGTCTGACACTTGCGAAAACCCGTCAACATTCTTATGATTATTCAAACCAGATCGAGAGTTTCACTTACGCACGTCACCTACACTTGGAAATTTGCTCATTCTGGTTGGTCTGTGATCAGCAGTGCCCTGGAGTACTGGAGACTTGCCTGGCTCATGAACCACACTATCGAGACTGGAGCCCCCTTAGCTCCAAGGAGACCCCACTTACCTCTCCCCTGGAGAATAGTAAAATAATCTGGTTTACGCTTGCTTTTCTATTTAATCTCCTCATGCCTCATGTAGGGATACAATTCTACAGATGCCAGCAGCCCTCGGGTACCTTGCCCATGTGAAATTGGACAATAAGCTTTGTCAGCACGCTATTTGACCACAGGAAGCCCCTGAACTTGCCAACATATGATGTCCACACAGATACTGGGTTGGGATGGAAACCAAGAGCAAGTATCCCTGTGTCACAAGCTTGTATTTTCAAGTGCTATTGAACAAGAAATGCTGTCCACGGGGGTCTATAAATCCCAGGGATCCCTCATTTTATATAATTATTTTTATGACTATTACTTGTAAGCAATAAAGTCTTCTACACTGCACAAAAAAGATTAATGTATTCAGCTTCCCTGATGGCTAAGTTGGTTACAGATGCAGTAAACTCAGCCACAGAATCTCAAAAGATCATAGATTCAATTTCCCTCAGTGATGAATTAGTTGAGCTCGGACAAGACAGCTGTTGGGCAGCTACAGTTACAACAACAACAACATTACATTTGTAGAGCGCCTTTCACGTCGGGAGGACGTCCCAAGGCGCTGGACAGACAGAATAACAGATCTGAGCTGGGGGTCGGGGTGGGAGAGGGCGGGGCAGGAGGGGGGGGAGGCAGGGGGGTCAAAAGCACGGTCGAAGAGGAGGGGCTTGAGGTGGGTCTTGAAGGTGGCGAGGGAGGGGGTGAGGGAGGGGGCGAGACAGAGGGACTGCGGGATGGAGTTCCAGAGGGTGGGTGCAGAGTGACGGAAAGCCTCCCGCCAATAGTTGGGGAGCGAGGCGGGGGACGTGAAGCAGGCCAGAGCCCGCTGAGCGGAGGGAGTGGAGTGTGCAACCATGGATGGTGATGCTGTCAGCGCCTGAGGTGAGGAGGCGCTAACCGGAGCCAATCAGGAGAGCCT